TTTTTTTTTCCCCACAAGCCTACATACATTTTTAAATGCAGTGTAAACCTTTAGAGGTTTTTCTTTATTTGGATCTGTCTTTATCATCTCAGAAGTGCCGAATCTAAACCCCAAGAGCACCTGGACGGCGCGAGCATATGGAAGCTGCTCCGATGCCTCTCAGCGGCCCGACAGGGCAGGCTGTGGCAGGCGGGTTCCCTCTTTCTCTGGGAACCTTGAGGCATGGGGTCATCCTGCTCACTGACACCAGATAATGTGGGAAATTACCAATACGGAGCCAGGTAGAAATACAAGGGATTTTAATAGGGAAAAAGCCTTACTTACAGAGCAATTAAATGTCTTCCTTTATAAGAGTTGTCTTGTTGTCTTGGTGTCTCTTCACAACAACAGAAGCCCTAATTAAGCAATATGTAAAATAAAAATAGATAAATCATTTCTAAAATTTTAAAAAGCAAAGATAAGCCTTACACCAACACCTCAGGAACCACATGAGAGTGGAATGAAATACTTAAAAATCCAGCCAGCCTAGAGATCTATACCCTGTAAAATTCTTCAAAACTGGGAGCAAAATGTAGACTTTATTAAAGAATTAATACAAAAACAAAACAAACAAATAAAAATCATAACTCTGGGGCCAGTGAGATGTCTCACTAGGTAAAGGTGCTTGCAGTACAAGCCTGGCAATCTAAGCTCCATCCCCAGGAGCCACGTGGGGAAGGAGAGAACTGACTTCCTAAAGTTGTCTCTGCCCTCCTCCTGTGAGCTGTGAGACATGGTACACACTCTCCCATGCATACTCTAATGAGTAAATCAATCAATCAATCAATGGCACGTTGATAATTTTGGATTATAGTCCCCAGGCTGCTTAATGCCCTTTCAGCAAACACTAGATTTGCATGTGTGCATGCTGCATTCCATGAGGCCTCCGTGTTTAGCATGGTATGCCATGTAGGTTTATGTAAGTGCACTCTGATGGTCACACAATGAAATTGCCTAGCAACACACTTCTCAGAATGTGTCCCTGTGCTTAAGCAACATATAGCTATAATTATTACACATTGAAATAATGTTTTAGATATACTAGGTTAAGAAAATACCTTGTTCATATTAATTTCACTGATTCTTAACACTTTCACAAGGCTGCTAAAATTTTTCAAATTGCATATGTGGTTTGTAATTGTGCCTTGGTTTGTATCATAATGCATGGTTCTGATCTAGAAGCAGTCAATAATGTTTATTATTATAAAATAAGTAGTCAATAAATATTTATTACATGAATTGTCCCAGCATTACCATTATAACCTAAAGCTGCCCTCCCTTATAACATGATCCAAAACAAACTAATAACCACAATTGCAAAACACATAATTTTAAAACTATAACACCATTGTTAACCCAAATGTCTCCCTTAGAAGGGACTCAGTTTGACTCTTATGTCATTAGCCTGTATCCAGACCTTTTTCTGCAAACATTTTGATAGCTACATAGCAGGTTTGAAACCAGCATGGGCTACACAGACTCTGTCTCACATAAACAACAGCAAAATCATGCAAAAAGCTCCCATGGTTTACCACCCCAGATGACAGCCTGTAATCTTTAGTTGCAAGTCTTTCTTCTTGTTCAAATACTGATTCCCGGGTGCCATTCCAGAAGTTTCATTGGCCTGGGATGGAGACAGGTGTCATTTGTTTTCAATTGTGGGGAAGTCTCCATAATAAAAAGAGTTAACTTTCAGTGCTTTTATTGAGCATCTACTGTATGCCCCACACAGTGCTGGGATATATGAAGAGTACCCAAGACCAACACAACTGCCTTCCAATGAGGGACTTAAGTGAGCAAGAGCATGACATTGGAGGCTCAGAACAAGGGCCATGGAAAAGCCCAGGTTTTATTCTTATTTCACCTGTGTACATGTTTACTGAATACACACTGGGCGGGAGGCACTGGGCCAGACACCAGGAGTCCAGGTGCAAAAGGGCTGTCCACAGACCTCAGGCACAGTATTCATGAAACCCCACTTTTAGTTCCTGCCTCCTGCGGGATGTATTTGTTTTGCAAAATATCAAGGCCACCTGTGTTAGCTCAATTTACATAACGCCTGCAGGAAACAGGCAGAACAGAGGTTACCTGTCCCCTTTTATGAATTGGAGTCGCCCTGGCACCGCACAGTTAAAATTGTTTACCTAAAGTCACAGTGTCAGATGGCCCAGGGCTGCCCATCTTGTCTGCAGTACTTTCAGAACCCCACCCACGGCCTCCCGGAGATGTGCCCCTGCCCATGTTTGCTCTGGCACACAGTAGGGTCTCCGTGGCCTCTGGCGGTCATTTCTCTGTAGCTCAGGCTTGACCTTGCTTCATCTCAGCCAAGGACAGATGTCCTTGGACACGTGCACACACCTAATCGCCTTTAGACCCAGGGGCTGGCTTCTCTGGAACACGCTGAAGGTTTCATGAAACACCAGCCGGGCGCCAGCTTCTGCGCTGCGTTATATAGATGCCCACACTCGCCATCGGAGCGAATCTCTTGACCACGAGGGCTGTAAAGCAAAGGAAGGGCAGCCTGCGTGCCTCACCTAGTAAAGGTGTTTGTCTCTCGAGCCAAGCTACCCAGTTCCGCCTCCGGAAACACACAAAGGTGAGAAGAGAGAACTGATTCCACGGTTTTTCTCTGACCTCCATATGTGTGCCATGACATGCGCTCAGGCGCACACAGACAGACACATAATGCACACACATGCATACACATGTGTACATTATTTCATTTTATTATTTATTATTATTCTGTTTCATTAGTTCATTAGTTCATTTTAAAGACATCAATAGATAGGAGCTAGGGGGAAAAGGGAAATGGCTAGTAGGCAGAGAAGCTCTCAGAGCTCCTGTCCATAGCGCCCCACGCCCTCACCTGCTAGTGTCGAAGCCCCATCTTGCAGCCCCCAGTCCTTTCAGACTGGTGACAAGGGAAACTCCACGTGAGAGGCAGAGTGAGATGTCATTGGGTCAAGAGAGGAGTGGGTCAAGAATGGCACCAGTAAATAACTCTCCAAAATGTAGTTCCCTGGGACTCGGTGAGCAAATCTTGCAGTGGACAGAAAGGCTGGCTCCCAGTCACCTGCCAACGTGCCTCTTTGATTGGTCAGCGGCTCATTATGTGAAGGATATTTATGGCTCACATGCCAGGTTCCCTCCCACGGAACAGAGAAGAGGCATGATCTACTACAAGTGACTTTTCAAATTATCTGCAGAAAACATTAGTGGGTGTTTTCCCATCTGCATGCCTCCAGGCCTCATTGAGCCATAAAAAGTAAATGATTTTCCCCCAAATGCTTTGACAAACCCAATCGCTCCAGGCCATTTTCTAGCTGGTTGCTTTGCCATATCTTGCCAGAGCGTCTGCCCTGAAAGCCGTCTCCCCCACTCCCCCAGCAAAGAGAGAAAAACCTCTAGCAGACAGAGGGGTAAGGTGACTTGGCTGGGGTGGAGGAGCACACACTAGAAAGGCTTCCTGGAGGAGGTGGCTCTGGAGATAGTCCTGAAAAGAGTCAGTGGGGTTGCAGACATGGAATGGAAGATGTATAAAACAGAAAATATAGGGAGGGGGAGATACCTGCTTTGGGTCAAGGTCAGAAGAGCGCTCTCTCTCTCTCTCTCTCTCTCTCTCTCTCTCTCTCTCTCTCAGGCTAAAAATAGGAGTCTTAAGTGCTTTGGACAATGAGTTTCAGTCTTGAAAGACAGTACAGTACAGAGGCCTTGCACAGTGACCTTGAGGCCATTTGTCACACCGAGAACCGGAGATGGCCAAATACACAAGGAAGGGCATGCCGATCCTTGCTCAGCTTCTGAGCCAGCCTTTCCTGGAGGCCACTGGGTCCCTGGAGACTTGGGTTCTGTGCCAACTTCCTGAGCTGCCCTTGATCAACTGGGAACAGGGGGATGGCCGGGGAGAGAGCGCATCTGCGGCTGCAGGAAGAAGATGAACTGCCCCAGGTGGCCGTCCTGTCACCTTGATGGGTTAACCTGGACACTTGTCAACAGTTCTGACCCCTCCCTCCCAAGGATGCTGTGAAGGGTCCTGACCCCTGACGGGTTTTAGTACCCAGGGTCTGGGTGGCTCCCTGAGCACAGGCTGACCCATCCTGGAACACCACCACCCATGGGATTTGGTGGGAGATAGATGGGTGTCTCCCTCTCCCCTTGCAGAGGGGAGTCCTTACTAGTGCTCTTGGGAGGGATGACTCGAGAAGGGCTGCGTAGCACAACCAAGAAACTAAAGACTCGGTGGGTTATAAAAGATAAATAAGAAATAAGAAAAGGACATAAAAGTTGGGAAATGGGTATTGGGAAGGGTCTGGGAAGGGTCTGGGAGGAGGAGAGTGGGGAATGGACATGAGCAAAATACATTGTATACATGTATCCGTCTTTCAAAATGCAAAACAAACACCTGCCAAAATCAGCCAGGAGAAAATTTGCCCTCGGCTCTCTCTCTCTCTCTCTCTCTCTCTCTCTCTCTCTCTCTCTCCCACTTCTGTAATTAACACCCTCCCCCAACCTGCCATGCCAGGTTATGACCCTGGAAGGGGTCATAACCATCTTCCTCCCCTGTGGCATTCAGCCAGCCTCTCTTGCCCTCAACAGACTTGTGTCTGTGAGCTCTCTCCTGACAGGAGGTGATCCCACCAGCGAGCTCTGAGCCATTCTGCCCTGTGCACCCCACAGCACTGGCTTCAGTGAACCCTCTCAAATGTCTGAGGGATGGGATTCAGCCTGGCAAATGGAACTTTCTCAGAGCCTCCTCCCCTGGGTAGCAGAGAACTGCAGGAGGGTGGCTGTGCTCCTTCGCCTGCCCTGGGCTGCCTCCTTCACCCCTACCCCCTCCTGTTTTGTCCCCAAGCAGGCCTTTCCCTGGACTTGGGCTCCCTCTCCTTTCTCACTTCCATGCTGTGGCTGAGTCTATGAATATTTTGTGGAATGAACTTCCGGGCTTTCTCTTCCACATGCAGGCACAGAGTGAGCTGATGAACTCCGGCTTGTATCTGGTGTTGCTGCTTCACCTGTATGAACAGAGGTTCGCAGAACTCATGACACTCAACTACAGGCGGGCTTCCAGAGAGAGGGTAAGTGCAGCTCCAGGAGGAGCCCCAGGGCAGCACAGCCCGGAACACCATGTGATGCCATTTCTTAGCCATGCAATCTCCTGAAGTCCTCAGGGTCACTTGACAATGTCCAGGACTGTCATGGTTAGGTCTAAGATTTAGTAGCTGCTAAGTGTCTGTGCAGTGACCTCTGGCTGAAGGCAGGTATAATCACATAATTGCTTACTGTCAAATACAAATAGTAATTAAGTGGTCGACAGTGGCCATGTAAGTGAAGGAGCCTCTAGGGAGACCTACCCTGCAACACGGAGGTGTACAAGAATGCTGTTGTTGGGTATGTTCTGTGAGGATGTGCAGTCTGCTCAAGCAAAGAGAATCTGTGCAAAAACAGGGCACTCCACACCTGAGAGCTAGTGAGGAGCCACAGTCTGAGATGTCAGCTCTGCCTGTTGTGTTTTGGACCTGGGTACA